GTGAGGCAGCCAAACATCCATTCTAAATCTTTTCTCCTCGCCGCTCCCCAAATCAACATACCAATGTAACACTGACAGCATGAACTATGTGTTCATGCCATTCCAAAGAATTAGCTGCCATAATACACCACCCCACTCTTCTTCCAGCCGGGAAAGCACATCATGTAGCAAAAAGCAGGAGAGATAGCATAAGGGTACCGGCATCCATGCACTCTGGTTTATACAAACAAGCCAATGACTCCCGATGTCAGCACTGTAACTCTCAGCAGTCACAGATGTACTTCTACTCATGCAGATCGATATGGCTGAGAAGTAGGGCCTTGGAGAGAGCCTGGGGTGAGAGGGGGTCTGGGGTATAATATCCATCCAGAACTTGAGTAGTATCACCCCTTCACAGGGGAAATTTGACCCCAGATACCTACCCACTGACTCCAAGGTTCCAAACAGCCCTGTACTTCTTGTCAACACGAAGGGTATTCAACATCCTCCCTAGATCAGGAGTTGGGTTCAGCTCCCTTGGAAAGAACCACTAGGACTTCAAAATCTACTGCGAAAGAATTGATGAATGGGAGCCCTCAACAACACTGCATGTGAGGGTAAAAGGTCTATGCTAATGAGCACTCAATTCACAGAACTATGACTATCACAAACACGAGCACTCTAGCTTTTCACCTTCACTCTGAAATGGACCTGCCTCCCATTTCTGTTCACATAGCATAATTCAAATTATCTTAGATCATCTAAGTGTGGGTTAGTGAAATTCCAATTATACAAATACCCTCTAGTAGAACTACATTTGTAAATGCAGTTTCTGGTTGTTATAGATAAGATACTATATTCAGCCCTGGCTAGTATGCTCAGTGGTTAGAGCATCAGCCCCTGCACCAAAGGGTTGCAGGTTTAATTCTTGGTCAAGGGCACATACCTGGGTTGCAGTTTTGATCCCTGGCCCCAATCATGCAGGAGGAAACCAGTTGATGTGTCTCTCACGTCAATGTTTCTCTTTCTTTCTCTCTCTCTCTCTCTCCCTCCTCCCCTCTCTGAAAATCAATGGAAAAAATATCCTTGGGTGAGGATTAAGAACAACACAGAAACCATAATTAAGTGTCCCCTATCTCTTTTATATTCTTTTCTTCCACACAGAAAAGGTTTCCATGATTTTTCCTACAAAGGGAAGTTGTACAAGTTATGATAAACAATAGAAACCTTAAACAGCACAAAAACCATTTCTAGGAAAAAGAAATAAATTCCTAATTAAGAAAAAACACTAAATAAACTAAATCAGATTCTTAATCATTCTATCAAAACTATAGATGTTCCTCAACTTACAATGGGGTTACATCCCAATAAACCCATCATAAATTGAAAATATCATAAGATGAAAATGCATTCAATATACCTAACCTACCAAACATCATAGCTTAGCCCAACCTACCGTAATGTGGTCAGGACACTAACATTAGCCTACAGTTGGACACAATGATCTAACACAACGAGTACACAGTAGAGTGTGGGTTGTGATCGCATGGCTAACCGGAAGCTGTGGCTGCCACTGCCCAGCATCACATGAGAAAATAATACCACATATTGCTAGCCCGAGAAAAGATCACAATTCGAAGTACAGCTTCTACTGAATGCATTTCATTTTTGCACCATGATACAGTCAAAAAAACTAAGATGAACCATCATAAGATAAACCACCAGGGACCGTCTATATATAGTCATGTTTTACATCTAACATATATGAAGTATGATCTTATTATACTAAGATTCTATTCACAGCTCAATGATTCTGCAAAAGGTAGTGACATAAAGTTAAGATTTAGACAGTTGGCACGAAATAAATCAAAGCCTGAAACTCCAGCTCTGTCGATTACCACCTGCATGAACTTGGACAAACTGCTTATTCTCTCCACATTTATTTTTCATCTATAAAAATGAGACCAAGTCTAGCACCTACCTCAGATGACTGACGCAAATACTAACTAAGATAATGTACACAAAGCTCTAGGCACAATGCCTAACACATAATGCCCCCAACTGGTAGCAGCAGCAGTAATAACAGAAACAGCAGAGGTCTGCATTATTCCCCACACATTATTTCATCTAGCTCCACTTTTTGACAAACATAAAAACCCTACTAATAAAAATTTCTAGTGTTCCCTGATATCTAACTCTACTCTTCTTCCTGGAAAGAGGAGAGGAATGCACCTCCCAGACCCTTGCAATCAATCATGTCACTTCCAGTCCTAGAAATTGATGAGACAATGTGCCATCTCTAGACACTCTCGCTCTCCTGGTGCCATGTGCTGAGATGCAAAAAGCCTGGATCCTGAGTCACTGCCTGGAGGAGAGCTACCCTGGAGACTCAATCGCCCTGCTTCACACTTCAGGTGAATACAAAATAAATCTCTGATGTATTAAGCCACTGAGATTTGAAATTTGTTTATTGTTGTGTCAGGATCTACTCTACCTTGACCAATAGGTATTCATTTACCCCTAAAAGGATCCTCACATACTTCCAAGAAGAGAAGGAGGAGCACTTGAACTTTTTAAAATAATTTTCTCCTTATCAATCTTAATATTCTTTACTTTGTAATACTACTTCATATTGCAAGTAAATTGACTTTTCAAACTCTCCATGCTTCTTCTTCTTTTTATATTTTTGACCTAAAAAAATTAAATTTGACTTATATTTAATACATAGATTAATACTGGGGCTTTCACTGGGTCCTGTGTTATATAGTCATATGTTACCAACAGTACCCAAAGTAGCCTATGCTCATGGTAGGTTCCAGAACAAGGAAGGGGTAATAGGAACATCCTCGACTCTTTACTTGCTTCCAGCTTAAGTCAGCATGGGGCAGTTACATAGAGTTATGGATGGCACCTAGTCTAAACAGAACTAACCCTCATGAAATGAACAAGGGGTTTTAAATGTTTTTACAAGGAGCCAAAAGGTTTTGTGTCTCATTAAAATTTACCTCAATATACTATTTATTTTACTTTGTCTCTTCCATATTTATTTTTTTGTGAATGTCATAGAAGACATACTATATTGACAGTAGTACATCATGTAATTTATAAATAAATATACATGTGTAAGTGGTAAGTAAAAGTAACTTTGTAACTGACAGTTTAGAGAATAGATTTCGACTTTGTCACTACTTGCATTATTCCTAAGCTGCTTTAACCATTTCCTAAAACAACTAAAAAACAAAGAAAACAGTATAGAACTTGGGAAATACACAAGGTTCACAAGATTTCAGGTACCAGCAAAGTCAGAAAAAAAAAAAAAAAACATAAATAATACTGAAGAGCATTAATTTGATTTAAGAGTAAAGGACAAGGCTTTCTGTTCCAAATAAAAATCACATTTCCACATCTGAAAACCGGCAAAGGCTCTGTCAGATAACCAAAGGGATAAGGTGATTGCTTTCCACACTTAGAACAAACAGCAGATTCTCAGATGGGTCAGAAATGCTTCTATGGGTGCTTGGACTCCACAGAGGTGGTAGCCAGGGAAACAGACAGGAGAGTCAACAAATGACCCTAAGAAAGGCAGAGCGCTTCATTAAGCCAACATGAAGACTGGTTATCAGCAAATCACTGTTTTAACTAAGTTTAAATTATCTCAAATATCTAGGAAGATTTTTAGCCAAATGGCACAGCATCCTCTACTCCCCATCTCTTAGCACTTACCTCACTACCAGTAAGAGGTGAAGCTGGAATTTAAACTCAGGAATGTCTGACTCCAGAGCCCTTATGAAAGTAGCATCATATAAATAAGCCTCCCAGAACAGGTAGGATGTGAAAATCAAGACTAGCTGGGATTGAAAGAGAAGAGGCAGGGAGAGGAGGTGCTGTGAAGGCCCCGTAGAAGGTGATGGAAAGATCAAAGGTATGGATGTGGCAAACCCTGAGTAGGTGCAGAAATCACCAAGTGGTGGTTCCACTGGCATAGGAGATGTGGAGGAAGGTGGTATGAGACAATGCTGGATAGGCTGGTTCAGACTTTCCAGTAGAAGGCTCAGCCACATTCTGGAGGCAATGAGTAGTTACTAAAGGCTTTAAAGCAAGGGAACGGCATAACTGCAGGGAGACTCTGGGAAAACTAATTTTGCTATGACATGAAAGATGGGCCAAAGAAAAGTAAGAAGGTGTCTTGCACATACTATTCAGTTAATATTAAATGGGACGGGGCAGAAATGCATTGTGTTTCATCTGGCCAGTGTAGCTCAGTGGTTGAGTATCAACCCATGCTCCAAGAGGTCACCAGTTCAATTCCCGGTTAGGGCACATGCCCAGGTTGTGGGCCCGATCCCCAGTGGGGGGCATGCAGGAGGCGGCCCATCAATGTTTTCTCTCATCGATGTTTCTATCTCTCTCCCTCTCCCTTCCTCTCTCTCTAAAATCAATAAAGAAACAAATTTTTTTAATCTTAAAAAAAAAAAAGAAATGTATTGTGTTTCTCTAACATAATACCAAGTGCATTCTACCCAACACCACTTAATATTGTTCAGTTTGTTATTTAGAAAACAAACTCCACTCATTCTAGAAGGAACTAATGCTGCTGGTACTTAAAAAAAAAAAAAAATCAATTCACTGGTCAATTGTGGCCCTCTAAATGTTGCTATTAAAATGTCTACTCTTAACAAAAATTAACATTTTCTTCTATTCAAAGGGAAGTACATCTGAGCTGCTGTTGTGACTGCTGAAAAAGAAAACAAAATTAACCAAGTGTAAAAGTTAGGCAATGAGAAGTGATTCTCCCTCTTCCGCAACAATGTGAAAAGGTCACTGGAAAATAAGGAGATCACAAGCTGTAATCTCATATTTCCTATGCCCTCTTGTAGTCTCCAAGTCAAACACATACTAAGTTGGAGCTTGTACGATGATGCCGAACTTCCTTCTGCTCAGGTCGTGGTATTAATTGCAAAGATTCAGCTACTCAGTGAGAAGCCGAGGGTAGAAAGACACTGAGATGAGTCATAACCTACCTGATTTTCTTCATGGGAAACCCTCATCTGCTCCTTGAGGACAGACATCCGGGCTGCTTCTTCTTTCCTCAACACTCTCTCCTTCTTGAGCTCGGGACTCCAGAAGGTCTTGATACTGTTCATGGAAGATCCCAATTTGCTGTCCTTGATGTCTAGTTCTTTCCGAAGGAGGTCATTCTCTCTCTGAAGTTCTTTGAGCTGGGCTTGAAGGTCTAACATTGTGCTATCCCTTACCTGCCTCAACATGGAGGGGACCTGGTGGTGGTGATGATGGGATGCACTGGTCAGACCATGTTGATCTGTGTATGAAAGGACATCTGTGTGGGAAAGTCCAGCGGAAGCAATATTGGGGCTACTCCCCATGGCTGTGACACGACCTCCATATACAGCTCTATTTGTGGCCCTTCCCAGAGTCATGGTGCCCTTTGGGTAAGTTGTCGAAGCCACCCCCTCATGATCACTCAGATACATGGGTCCAGACGTAGCATAGGCTGCATTAAGGGACTGGATATTCTCCATGGACAGAGTCTTGCCCGTTCCTCCACCACCCCCACTACTTGTTCTTCGGTGGCCCAAACGAGGAGACCTTGGCAAACGAGGAGACCTGGAAGGGCTCCCTTCCAGACTGGTGATTGTTCTTGCACTTCCATACATTTTTCTTCTATTACGAGGTACGACTAAAGAGCAGGAATGCTATACTCAGTTGAGAATTAAGCCAATATTTTCACCGTTGGCCAGAATTTTCACTGTATTTTACTCATAGTCTGTACCAGAAAATGATTCCAATTAGAGATCTGAAAAAAAGAGAAAAAGGATAATCAAAACCAAGCTTCCTTAGAAATCTCACTATAACTTCATTAAGTTTTTTAATATATAGGTAGATGTCCTTCAGTAGGTGAATGTATAAGTAAACTAGTACATTCAGACAATGGAATATTATTCAATGCTAAAAAGAAATGGCCTATTAAATCATAAAAAGACAGAGGGAAAATTTAAATGGGTATTAGTAATTGAAAGAAGCCAATATAAAAAGGCTACATAATGTATGATTCCACCTGCATGACATTATGGAAAAGGAAAAACTATGGAGACAATAAAAGAATCAGTGGTCGCTAGTGGTTAGGATCAGTGGTTGCTAGAGAAGAATGAATAGGTGGAACACAGAGGATTTTTAAGACAGTGAAACTACTCTGTTTGATACCATCATGGTGGTTACGTGTCTTTATACATTTGCCTAAATCCATAGAATATACAACACCAAGAGTGAGCGCTAATGTAAAATATGGGCTTTGGATGATTATGATGCATTAATATAAGTTCATTGTTTGTGATAAATGTACCACTCTGATGCAGAATATTGAAAATGGGGGAGAATGTGTATATGTGGAGGCAGGAGCTCAATGAGAACTCTATTCAATTTTGTTGTGAACTTTAAACTGCTCTAAAAAATAAAGCCTATTAGATAGATAGACGGACGGACGGACAGACAGACAGACAGACAGATAGATAGACCGACCCATGTTCATTTAAAAAGAAAAGGGACACCCAGCCAGTGTGGCTCAGTGGACTGAGCATTATCCCATGGACTGAAAGGTCCCAGTTCAATTGCCAGACAGACAGACAGACAGACAGATAGATAGATAGATAGATAGACCGACCCATGTTCATTTAAAAAGAAAAGGGACACCCAGCCAGTGTGGCTCAGTGGATTGAGCATTATCCCATGGACTGAAAGGTCCCAGTTCAATTGCCAGCCAGGGCACATGCCTGAGTTGCAGGCTTGATCCCCAGTAGGGGGCATGCAGGAGGCAGCTGACTGATATTTAATTGATGTATCTCTCTCACATCGACCTTTCTATCTCTCTCCCTTCCTTTCTCTCTTAAAAAAAAAAAAAAATCAATAAAAACATATTAAAAAAAAAAAAGAAAAGTGAGCCCTGGACAGTTTGGCTCAGTGGTTGGAGCATCAGCCCATGGACCAGAGAGTCGGTTCAGCTCCCGCTAAGGGCATGTACCTCGGTTGCAGTTTGTCCCCAGCCCCAGTTGGGGATGTGTGGGTGGCAACCAGTCGATGTGTCTCTCTCACATCTAAGTTTCTCTCTCTCCTTCCTCCCTCTCCTTCCCGCTCTATCTGAAGATAAATGCAAAAAATGTCCTCGGGTGAGGATAAAAAAAAAAGTGAACCCAAAACTTGACTTACTACAACTAAACATTTTGTATATTCCCCCCATCCTACTCCCAAGCAAGGTCAAAATTTTACAGAGCAAAAAGATGCTCCTTTTTCCAAAATGCAGAAAATGAAGTTCTGCATTTTGGGTTGTGTGAAGTGGCAGTTGGAATCTCCATAAAATTGACTGTAGAATTCCTCATCACAGAGACCTGAGTTATAAAATATCCTATTCTGGGGGTTAGGGGGGGATGTGGCTTGACAGTGACTCCAAGAAGCTGTTGCTTCCTAAGATGTCAAGTAATAATCATGTTGTTAACCTCCATACACCCACTACAGACATCACTAATCCATCCCCCTCCTCTTGCCCACTAGCTTCAGAACTCTTCTCAACACAGCACTCTAGATGGTTTCCCACCAATCAGCTGGCATTGATACATGAGCAGAACGTATTAGCCATCTTGGAGCTAAACAAAAAAGAGGTGGCTCAGCCAACAAGACTCCCTACATATAACCGGATCCTAAATGCTCTCATCAGAGAAGATGACAATCCTGTCTCTTTCCCCTGGCATTTTGGGACTTCTTTTCCATTTTTGTTAACCACTCCACACCTGTACAGAAATGGCACAAGAGAACAGTGCAAATATTAGAGTCCCTGGTCCCATAAGCCCTAGAGAAAAGTAGAAGCCCCTACAGTGATTATTAAAGTACACTGGTATAGATTTTATGTGGCCAGGGCTACAGAGCTGTGATGACCCCATCAGTGATAGTATCCAAATGGCCTTAACAGGCTGCATCATAGCCTCCTGCACTTCCTCTTAGGATGTGTTTGCTGCACTCTCTTTTTCTTCAGCTTTAAGGTAGTTAGAGCACAAGCCCTGGCCAGTGTTTCTCAGTGGTTAGAGCATTGGCCTGCACACTGAAAGGTCATGGGTTCAATGCCTACCTTTTCTCACATTAATGTTTCTCTTTCTTTCTCTCTCTCTTCCCCTCTTCCTCCATCTCTCCCTTCTACTGTATCTAAAAATCAATGAGAAAATATCCTCAGGTGAGGATTAACAAAAAAAAAAAAGATACAGCACAGATTCTGGAGAGGGACAAACTGAGGTTCAACTCTCTACTCTAACAACGCACTAGCTGAGTGACCTTAAGCAAATTATTTAACTGTTACGAGCTTCCTTTCTCCAATCAATAAAATGTGGGTAATACTACCTAACTCGTATTATCCTAAAAAAAAAAAAAGATGATGTTTATAAAACACCTAGTTTGGTGCCTACCAATAATTTATGTTGGTAGTGTCAATATGTACATTAATAGCATTATACAGGGCATCTTTTATTTCTACCTGCCTATCATTCATTCACACACACACATACTCTCTTGTAACACTAACTCTATTTCCTTAGAGAAATTGTCCCCAACTCTCTACTCACAGTCATTAGGTTAGGTAAGGCCAATTCCCTTTACTCCATCCTGGATGGTGTTGGGGGTGAGAACATGACCCAGGCCTGGCCAGTCATCATAGTCCATCCCCCAAACATGGCAGCTGATTTAGGATGGACATGTGACTCACAATGTTCCAAAAGACTCCATACCACAACTTTAGATGAAACGACTGGGAAAGATAAGCTCTTTTACAGCTGGAATTACTTGCTTTCAAGATGGAGCTTCTGAGTACTACCAGGTAAACAGGGCTTCCTAAGAGTAAAGCTAATGCAAAAGAAACCAGCGCCAAACTTTTCGTAGTGTGAAATCAAGCCAGGTGCCATCACTTGATACCCTGGAGCCAGCAGTCACTGAAGCTGCATCTGTCCCTAGGCCATTTCAGTTACATATGCCAGGTAGACTGACTACACTCAGGGTCCCAATTATTTACCTCTTCCTGTAGCTGCCTCCTTGGCAGTGCCCTCACTATCTGACCCCAGGTTCTGTCACATGACTTGCTTTGACCAATAAGGAGATAACAAATGTGAAGCAAGTGGAAGCCTGAAATAGCACTTATGTATTTACTCTCTTGATCATTTTCTTCGGCCACAGGAACTAGAGCATGCCCAGTCTAGCCTGCTGGAAAATAAGAACATAAAGCAGAGTCAAGGTGTCCTAGCCAATAGCCAACCCCAAGGCATTCGAGCAAGCCCAGCTAAGATCAGCAGAGGTGCCTAGCCAAACAGCAGCTGACCACAGATCCAAAAACAAAGTCAGCTGAGAGCCGCTGAACTCCATACACTCATGGACTAAATAAATACTTCCTACTATGTCACTGTTTGTGGTTGGCTGTTTTGCAACATTACTGGGGCAACAGATAACTGATATATTCACCCATAAATTTCCATTTTTGTTACATTCAATTCCAGTTGGGTATCTGTCCCCTGTATCCTAAAAAGTCCTCACATACAGTAAGAAGAAATATTTTCCATAAAGTCTTCCTCTTTCCCTAAAAAAGTATCTGCAAAGAATTATATACCTGTCTCCAACTAAGGAACTTAGTTTCAAATGTTTATATTGCTTAGAGCTTAATTTTGTTTTACTTGATAATACACAAAAATCATTTTGTACCTAAAATTGTTGCATGAATTATCTGTTTTATTTTACTTTTTTAAAGGTAAATCAATAATTCTAAGCACCGGAATTCAGTTTACATAAATGATAAAAAGAGACAGACAGTGAAATGTGACCATTACATGAATATTTAATGAGATGAAAAGATGTTCATGCCATACTAGTAGTGGGGGGGAGGGGCAGAGAACATACTACAAAACATTTCTGTGGTTTACTTATACTTTTGTAAGACACATGCATATGCATACACTCTAACTTGCAGAAGACTGAAATGACACACATCAGTATTAACGGTGGTGGAAGTCCAAATGGTTTTTTTTTTCCTTTTGTTTATTTGCATGGTCTAAATTTTCTATGATACATAAAGATATTTTTTATTGTCTTCTTAGTCTCTATTTCATTTATGTCTACTCCAGATCTTATTATTTTCTTCCTTCTACTAACTTTGGGCTTAGTTTGTAAAGTTAGATTGTTTATTTGAGATCTTTCTTTTTTCTTAATGTAGGTGTTTATCACTATAAACTTAAAAAAATAATTTCTCCTTTTTCCTTTTATAATTCCAACAGTAAGATGAATTTGTTTTGTGCTTAGAGTCTAGGAATCTACGTCCCAGCTGGGCCACCACTTATAAGGTTGTCTTCCTTTCTAGAAAGACAGAGAAGACTGGAAGCCCAGCTGGCCAAGGCTTTGGAGAACAGCAATAACCAACAAATAAAAAGTGGATTTGCTCCTTTTGGAAAAACACATAACATACAACACATATATGACATATGATATACTCCGATATATTAACTTATTTAAAATAATGTTTCTTTATTTAAAGAACAATACATGTTGGCAATGGCCCCAGTTTGTGAATTGAGAAGCTTTCAATGTTTCATATGTTCTAGAACAGTGGGCATAACATGAGACTTCTCTATTCCTGAAATGTTTGGGAAGAGACACCCATAAACTGAAAATGGGCTTAGTTGTTGGTTATCTCTTCATTTTTCACTTTGTTTACTAATCTATTCAGGTTTGCTACCTCTTTGTGTCAATGATCACAAAAATGTTTCTTCAGAAACAGTC